AAGGCGCGATTATCGGTTTTACATCGCGCAATTATTTGAGAGACAAGAGCACGTCAACTAAAAATATATTATATATATATATATATATATATATATATATATATATATATATATATATATATATGTGTGTGTATTATAAGTTTTTTTGGGGATTTAATATAAGGTCTAGTATCGGTGTACTTTTTTTTACGCGAGTACTTAAGGTTAATCGGTTCCGTAAAATTTTCTATGCGTCTCTTGCAGTTTTAAATCTCAGCAGCCACCATGGATAATCGAGGGGATAAGGGTGAGAGAAAAAAAAACGGTACGAAAAAATTAATTACAGGCACATAACGGGCTGTAACGATATAACGGGTCGGTGTACCGAGCTACACGAGGGCGTTCTGTCGGCAGTAATAGTAAATTAGGCAATAAATAATCATGTTTAAGTGGCAACGTAATTTCAGCTCTGGTAGTCTTACGGCTACCATTAAGGCCATTATTGCGAATCTCTTAATTTGCGAAAAACACTGCCTTCTCACAGGAGAGAAGGGTTGAAAGGAGGGGGCAGAGCGCTCTCAGAGGTGCTAAATGAAGCGCCGCGAGGTTGAAACTGTTCGCCGCATGTGTCGGGGTATTATTCATTCTAACCAACCGGCTCTTGACCTCCTTTCGCCGGATTATATTGCTCTCGCTTTTCTTTCTCTCCCGCTTTCTCTTTATCTTTCCCTCGGTCATTGCTACAAACAACTCCGACAGTTTATGGCTATTTATCGCGCCCTTTTCAAGCGATAACAAGATGGTTTTCTCAAACTTTGTCTAAAATCGGTGCCTTAATTCTTTCTTTACAACAATTTCTAAGTATTAATAGCTTTTTAATTATGAACATTTGAAAACCTAAAATTTAAAGATTTAAATAAGTGTTAAAATATTGTTTTTTAATTTTTAGTTTGCGACTCATTAGCAATGATGAATAATGATGAATAAAAGGTTGCGACAAAATTGACATCCGATCAAATTTTTGCCAAGAAATTATAAACTCTGTATTGATTAAAAAATTTCCTGACGAAGTTTGGCAGATTTCTCTGAAATTATCTAACGCAGCATCTTACTTTTATTTTCATATGTTAATACGAAATTACTGAAGCAAACAGACAAGGCAGCCTCTGCTTTAAGTTTGTCTTGTTCTTCTTCCTAAAAGGCGGATATACACTAAGACTCCCCGGGAATACGAAATTTTCAAAGTTGCTTCCCGTTCCAGTCAATGTCTTAAGTCTT